AGACAGCTCCAGCACAGACATTTGGTGATGGGAACACAGTAAAATGCAATGCTTAAATATGTATTCTACTCTCATCTTCAGTAATGTCATTCCTGCCAGCATCATAAATAACTAGAGCAACAAAGCTCAGATTTCTGCTGAGGACGTTTGTAGACAGTTTTCAGGGTAGGCTGTTTTTTGTGTGGTTGTTCAATTGTTGGTTTTGTTTTGGATTTGCTTTTTATTTTGGTGAAAGAGAATAAACCCAGACAGACTGTGCACAGTTGGTAAAACCTAACACAGGTATACTGATTTTTTTATTTTATTTATTTATTTATTTATTTTTACAGTAGGCAATTTAGGGATGTCAGCACTAAAGGATATTGACTTCAGTGAAGGTCTGTCAAACACCTGATTCTCTGGCTTCACTCCCACCATTCTGATCTGAATTGAGAAGCTAGTCCCCACTTCAAGTCCATTTCTGACAGTTTTGATAATGTTTCACTTAATTAATTCCTTAGGAGAGCAGAAGTGTAGACTGTGCTCCCATTTTCCATCTCCTCTAAGCAGCTCTCTTCCAGCTCTGTTTTCTGTTCGTACCCAGCAGGGAACCCATGTAGGCGTTTGTTTTCATGTCTGGATGAGCACTCCATCTCTGCCACACTTGTGATTTGGCTTCAGTCTCAAACTGTGTATCAAAATTGGTTGTCCATCTGCTCCCATCCCCTTAAACTTGCTGTCTTCTTTTAGATCTGGATGTTTAATCTCTGTTTTCACCCTAAATGCTGTATGGCGCCCTACTGGATGGCTTTCTGCCATCGTTTGTGCTTTAACCACAAATACACCCAGTAACACCCCTGAGTTTGGCTTGAATTTACCCCCCTCAATCTCACATGGGAGCAGTCAGTACCCAGGCAGGGAAGAGGATAAAGACAGAACAAGAGTACGACGACATCATTGCAGCTTCTAGTGAAGCCTCATCTTGGAGGTTTTCCAAGCTGGTCAGAGCATCTTTCTTTACTATCCTAGCCCTTCATCTTTTGTCCCGAATGAGTTGTACAACTACATGTTGCATCCATACAGATTTTTGGTATACACAGCACAGAGTGCCTGTGTGTATACAGCATGTATTCTTGGTCTGTTGTTCCAGTTCTCATGCTGAACATTTAACATGATAGTTTCTGGTTCCTGTATTCTGAGGGTCAGCAAGTTGGAACCGGTTTATTCCTCTACTCTGTGCCATCTGAGAACTTCTTCCATGTAACCCTTTCTGTCATTCCTTTACCACAGTACAGAAGATCTGTCTATAACTTCTCCTGAACAGAAAGCAGTTGTTTCCTTCATTGATAATGAGATCAAGTGGATCTCATTATCCACTTCTGAACCCTTTCAAGTCATTCTTGGATCCTTTCTGAGACCAGGACAGCAGCAGGTATTTAGGGTGCGCTGGCATGTTACATTTTTGCAGTGGCACAGCAATATATCCTGTTCTGCTTTCTTTTTAGCTTTAATTTGTTGACTTTTTAGATCAACTCTGACATGCCTCTTTCTTAGGAAAGTTTATCTGATTACTGTACCACTGAGCATGCACAATTACTGCAATTTTTATCTATGATTTGTTTGGCACTTATTGACCTTGAACATTATCTTCCATTTTATCTGGCAGTTTCTGGCAGATCTTTCTGCAGCTATTTACAGTGAACTTCCAGCTTTAAAACCTTGAGTAACATGGGAATGTAGACAAACTGTTACCTTGTTATGCATGACACCTTATCAGTAAATTTATCTCAACAGGTTGCCCCAAATCTGCTTTGGAGGAACACTAGCAGTAACTGCCCCATTCCTGCTTTTTTTTTTTCTATTATTTATTTTAATCAGTGGTCTATTTTGTTTATTTGCATGATTGCTCAGTTTTTTGAACTGGCTGCTTTGACTCCCCAGGGAGGCCACTTCTACCCACCAATTCTTTCACACTGTGGGGCGTAAGAGTCCTTTTCCAGGTCTGGACTGACAGACCACCTTCACCCAAGACTGAAAGCAAGGTATTCCCACAACCAGGCAGGAGCTCAGCTCAGTGCCAGCTTAATGTGGGCTACTGTCTATACCAGGCTTAGCCCTACAGGTGGGAAACAGCTCCATCTGTCTGTGAGTCCTGAATTCCTCTCAGCTCATGTCACTGCTTCCTTCTTGCTGTGCTCTAGCCATCAATCACTTCAGTTCTTTAGGTATTAACAGCTATCTCTAAGTTTGCAAGTCTTAAATGTTCCCTGTATCTCCCAAGCAGCAACCAAGCACTAATCAGAAAAAGGGAGTACAAAGTTCTTGAGGTTCTGTAAGTTGTTCTGTAATCCTTAAGCAATGTTGACATCTTAATAAGATCTTTATTGCAAGTGTCTCTGTTAATTTGGATATTCTTGCGTATTTAACTTTCACTGTGAGCATTATTTGCTGGAAAATTTTTAGTCCAGCTATGAAAGGGGGAGGTTCAGGTTGGGTATTAGGAAAAACTTCTCAGCCAGATGGTGAGGCAGTGGCACAGGCTGCCCAGGGAGGTGGTGGAGTCACTGTCCCTGGGGGTGTTCGAGAACAGTGTGGATGTGGCATTGAGGAGCACGGTGGGGATGGGCTGGTGTTCGGACTGTATGATCTTAGAGTCTTTTCTAACCTTAGTGATGCTACGAAATGTGAGGAAGAAAGTTGTTAAATTGTAGTGCCTTGTAGAAGTAAGAAGATGGAAAATACAACTGTGAGTTTGCTTGCTGCTGGAGGAGTTAAAAATAGTTTAATTCAGAAACACAGAGAATTACTCAATTCTTGTCATCTTTTCAGTTTTTCTCTGTGGCAGTTGTACAAAGTTTTGGACTTCTGGGAGTGCAATCAGAGCAGACTTGGAAGTATGACAGTTTCTCATGCAGAAATTTGCTAGAACAATAATTCAGTGATTGTAGTATCTGGGAAGGAGAAAAGCACATGTATCATTCTGCATTTTTGAACAGAAATTCCCAAATGCTGAGTTTTGCAAACTTTGTTACGTGTTTACAGTACTGCCTTCCCAGTATTTGCTGTAAATCAGTTATGAAAACTGTTCATAATGGGATGATACTCCCTTCTTAGTCATTTACGTGTTCAGTATGACTCACACTCTTGTACCAGCAACTGGTTCTCCTTTTCTTTTGCTGCCCAGGCTGTTCTTTCCTGACGCCTTCTATTTACTTCCAATACTCCAACCTATGGTAAAATGTACGTTTTTGCTTTATCACCTGTGGCTTTCTGTTTTGGTAGATGGGTATCAGACACCAGCACACTGATCCTTTTCCTGGCAAAAGTCTGCTTTCTGCCCAGCTGGCTGATCCCACCCACAACAGACTGAAAAAGCCAAGCACTTGGGGGTGCATTGGATCTTTTCTGCCTCTTTTCCCAGAGATAAAATTAATTCTGTAGACATTTTGACTGGCCCGAAATCATGCCACTTAGAAAACTGTTTGAATAAGACTTGTCTGTCACGATTTAATTTTTCAAGCCACTCCAAAAATAATTGATTTATATTTATAGAATTCCTTTCATCACAAAGGACTCCATATGCTTTTCAGAAAGATATTTCCATTCAAGCTATTGCTGAAACGCAACCTCTGCTTAGCTGCAATATTAGTTTACAGCATGAGGCAGGAAAAAAAGGTTACCTGAAATACAGCCATTTTCACTCAAAATTATCCCTTTTAGGAGTCAAAAACTATGAAAATCCGCATGATTCTGGTGCATGAAATTGGGCCAATTATATGACATTTAGGAGGAATATTAACATTTCTCATTCTGAGAGCTATAAGTACTTTTCAAATGTCTCCCATGACATCTTTAATTCATTCTCATGCCCTGAGATTTCTGTCACCTGAAATGTATTTTTACTCTATTTGTTGCAGCTATTCAGGAAGTTTTACACTGACTTAAAAGCAGTTTTCTTTATAGCATCAGAAGCCTCTGGGCTGTGGGTAAATGTGAACTTGGTAGGACAGGTTAGGATTTGTTAAATTCTGCACTGGTGAATACTGTGTCTGAACCTACCTATCTTAAAAAGAAAACTGAGTTTTAGTAGGGTTTTTTCAGTATTCATTTTTCACTGTCATTTTCTTAGAATGGATTGGAAATAATAGACTATTAGTGATTGCCAAGATTATTCATTTTAGTTATAGGTTTTTATGTCCATTTACACTGAAAGTAAGCTCAAAGTATGCACAGTGTTAGTTGCTAGTGCAAAATATCATCATGAGATCATTTTTGACAGTGATTCTGTGGGTGCTGACTTACATGATGTCCTCATTTCTGTTTTAACAACCTGATTGGACTGCAAATGAGGGTGGAATCTGGTCTACTGAATCATGTACATTTGCTTTTATTTAGTGCTATCTCTCCAAATCTTTTCCTACCTGCTTGATAATTGGATTGAAATTATCTTTAATTACATTGTCTGGGGCTTTGTTAATATCAGCCCCTAACCAACTGTACTGCATTTTTGGGTGCCCTCTTAAGATTCTATGAGGTGAGCAGGGCTGAAGGGCAAACTCCAGGAAGCTGCATCACTGCAGTCTCGGAGCCATTAATTTTGTGCAATGATAACTTTGTACTCAGAGAGCAATATTCATTATAGGCAAGAAGGGAAGCATGCGAGTCCTTAATTAACAGTAGGATATAATCAGCATAAAGTAATAGTTTAATGTTCTACAGAATCAGTGTTATAGCCTTTAGACTGTTGGTTTTTCCATTTTAGACAAGGCCAACACAAGATTGTAATTGTCTGGATGCCATTACCCAGCTTTCATTACTCTCCAGGCACTAGCTCACCACCCTGTTTCCTATGATTGACCCACAGATTCTGTTCAAATATGCAAACTGCCCAGGCTCCCCAGAGACCTCCATTTTCATCATGTACATGAATAGCAGCTGACTTTATTTTTTTCCCATAATCCAACCCAACAGACAGATTGTGACTGGGTTTGTAAAAAGAACATATTTTATTTTCATCTTAGGGTATGCTACACTATGGAAGGATTAGCAGAGAGCTATCTAGAATGCCTGGACTTGCCCCCAGTCCTGCTTTGTCACAGGAAACTGAGCATACAGCAACTCCTCTCCACTGTGCCTGCACAGGTAAGAAGCTGAATTTATGTCCATGTCTATCCATGGGGGAAGGAGGTGAAGCAGCAGCTGCTACTCTATCTCATTTGGGGTACCTAGGTACCAGAGTACTGCTTCAATTCAATGGCTGAGTTCTTTCAGGGGGCAAGGATGGGTTTTGACCTCAGCTATGTTAGTTGGGAACACCACATCCTAGAGAAGGGCACAACTTTCTTCAGTGTGGCCAACCCTGGTGGCAGTCCCCCAGACAAAGTAGACAAGCAATCTCCTTGCCAGTATCACCCTAATAATAGCTAGAAGGATTCACTTTTGAAATCTGGTCTATCTAACAAACTTGAGAGCCTAAAAACGAGCCTTAGAAGCTCCAAGACATTGCCAGTGACAATAAGTGAGACCTACTTGCTGAGGGAATACACAGGGCATTTTTGTCCTTGCACAATTCACTTAGACTACAGAGCAAGCGGCCACGCAGAGCCTGCCCAAACACCACTTTTGCCCTTAAAGGCAATGCCTTAGAGCCTCTTCTAAGGGCTTTTAAGGAACTGTCCCTCCCTCTGCTCTGTCATAAATACCCGTGCTGCTGCTTCATTCTTTCTTGTATCCTTCTCCGCTTTCTTATTCCACAGGCCAGAACAGAGGCATCTAGAAAATCTGCTTGTCAGCACGAGGAGGGCTATTCTAGTGGCGCATGCCTGTTAAGAGACAAGAGTTGAACATTTATTATTTTTAAAAAATGGCAATTAATATCATACTTCCCAGAAGAGACTGACGACTCTGGCTGTTCCTGCACAGCTGGAGCCTTGCATTAGCCAGGACTGCTGGAATTACTCTATGAAAGCAAGACTGTGCAATTGCTAGTTCCTCAGCCTCACAGATAAGGGCTAGGATTGCAAGGCTTAGTTTCAGAGAGGCTTAGGAAAGACAGAAAGATGTTTCAAGGTTAAAATATCTGTTGTGTGTGTCAGTGAGGAAGGGAGATATATAATTCCCAGAAGACTAATTCTGTGTGAAGGGAAGCACTAATTTTGGAAATGCCATACCTCTGCTCTGTGGGAGCATCTAACACTTGCAGTTCTTCAGGTGAGCTCCAGACTGTACTTCAGGAAGTGAAATGACATTGAATCCCTCCTTTCCCTTTAGTCTCCTGAAAGTAATGCCTTCAATAGAGCACTTCATTTTGACTAATGCAAAAGTTCCTGTGAATATAAGCATTACATTGCACATTTCTTCTATTGCGTTCAGGGAAAATTTACAGTAGGGTAATGAGAGTTTGTGTGTCAGACAAGACTAGCTGTGCCTCTTTGTGCTAAACTGCATCTTTTTTTTTTTTTAAATTTTCCTAGACTGAGAGGGATCTTCAGAAATCTCTCCAGTGGATTTGGCCAACCCGTGTCCCTTCAATTTTTTCACTGAAGCAGACTTAAGGTATGGCTTTTATTCCCATTAATAACAAAAGCCAGATGCTAAAAAAGTAGAATAAGTAGTCTCTTGGTGCAATTTAGTAGACTAAGCCATAGGGAATTGCTTAAAATGGAGCTTTTGTTTCTTATTTAAGTCAAGACAGTCTATTATGTATCCACTGTAGTTCATATAAGCATTTGTGAATGCTTTGATTCAGAGGGTTGGTTGTTTTTTTTTTTTCCTGAGACTACTCTGTCTTAAGTAAATCCTTTTTTTTTTTTCCTGAAATAAACCACTAGAGCATATTGATGTAATGAAGTATTGCTTTCAGTCTCTGAGAATACCATGCAAGTACTATCTACCATGGAGAAAACATATTATGATTAGAAAGCATATTTATTCTTGACTCTGCCCAAACGGTTTCTTCGCACACTTGTATAATGAGGACTAGAGAACTAAACATTCTACCTAGAATTAAAACTGTGGAACAGTTATCCTGGCCCTTAGGAAGGACTGAATGTTTTCAAATAAACTGACAGTTAACAAACAAATGTTAGGACCACCTGCAGTGACTCGCACCTGCAGTCTCAGCAGCTGAGGTTTACCTTGTGGGGAAGGCTCCTCTGAAAATATAGCTACCTGCATCCAGAGCCAAATGTGAGCAAAAAGCAGAACCTACCTGTGTCAGGCTTCCTTGAGATCCATCACAAGTAGCTGGATGTAGTCCCAGTGACAATCATTTGGTGTCCAACAGAAAGCAGTAATTCAGCTCCTGTTTAGTGATGTGCTCCAGGTCAATGGCTTTGTCCTGCAAGTAAAAGGTATAGGAGGTAACTTATGCAGAAAAGACATAACGCAAAAACCTACTGAGATAATAAAAAATTTGCATTTTCTCCAGCAGAGTCTGGTTAGACCTGGGATGAACTCCCATCTCATACAGAGCTTGCACTGCAGGGCACAGTTAGCTTTGTCCAAGATTTCACTGCCAGCTTGGCTCACTTATTTTTGCTGTGTTTTGTTTTAAATCCAAGCTAGAACTCTTACAAAGCTTTGACTGCATGACTGCTTCTTCAGCTCTTTCACCACCATCCTTTTGGTAAAGCTAATTCTGTTTTCCTGGAATTTTAAAAAATGTTTTACCCATCTAACCCCAAAGTAGCTGGTCAGCACTTTGCCCAAGTTCACTTTAACCTGAAGAGTCGATGACCCATGACTGACTTGGCATTTACACTATGCCCACTGCAGTTTGGTGTGTGCTGAAACTGAAATCAGTGACAATCCCTGATTTGTGGCTTGATAATTCCTTTGTAAAGGTTCTACTTACATTTACTTTACAGCAGTCCTTATTGCAGACCAATTTCATCACAAACCAAAAAAGCATTGGATTTCTTTTTTCATAGGCTAGACACTTAATGAATACATCTGTTATTTGGAATTCAGATGTTTGCAGATATAGGAGTTACAGCTTCAAGACAGAACAAGTTTTAGAAGATACTGAAACCACCTTGTGCAGATCCTGCCTTTATAAATACCCAAACACACACCACTCACTTGGACAAAGGCAATATATCCAAAAGCAAATTGAATGAATTGCACTGTCTGCTTTTAGGAAAATAATGTATTTATTCTTCATATGAAATTGAGATTTTCTCTCTGTCTTGTTATGAAATATCAATTTAAACTTTATAACATTCACATATTTACATACGCAGACCTGTATTGTTTGAATAAATGTGCACCTTTGCTGACATGACTGTGGGCTGCAATGCAGGCCAGAGGAGCCACGTTTAAATTGCAGGAGGGGAAGAAAAAAAAAAAAAAAGCAATAGATGAAACACTTGGAAATTTTAGTCCCAAGCTGGAATCTGACAGTTCTATAAACAAAGCTGCATCTGTGTCACACTTGGAGGATGACAGAGCACATATACCATCCTACAGTTATTTATCAGCTTACAGAACATTCATTCATTCAGAAATTAATTGGAGAAGAGTCACAGAGTCTTATCCTTGTGACCACCTCCTACAAAACGCCCTGGATAATAGCAGTATCCCCACAGTCACCCAAACATGGCTACACAGTGTGCCTGCTCACGCGTGTTGAAGTAAAGTGAACACGTGCAGGAGGTGGTAAGCTGTATTCTGAAAGCAATGCACCCATGGGCTTGCATCTATCTAACTCCTGCAAATCACTGGCACAACATTTTCATGTTCAAAATGCTCCAAGACATTAGCGAATGAATGAATCAAAAGATGTTCTCAGGAAAAGCAATAAGTATACTCACACAGTCACAATGGGAATTTGATCATAGCCAGTACAGCAGTGTGTCTGAATCAAAGTGGAGAGATTTTCTTTCTGAAGGGGCTCCATTTCTTAACAAAGCAACACCATCACAGACATTTTGTGAATACTCTTACAATAACCGCGATTAATAAATACTGCTGGATGCTAGTGGGGTACTGGTCTAGAAATCAGGACAAGTGGAATCTTACCTTTGTTCCCCTGACACAGTCATGAGACACATCCAGGATTTTTCAGAGCATTTTTCAGCAATTCTGGATAGCCAGCTTGCAAAGTAGTGCATGATCGTGAGGTCTGGAAGGAACAGAAAACAGCTGTGCATAAAGTGAGACACCAAACCACAAGTACCCTAAACCACTGGTCAGTTTTAGCCTATTTAATGTTTGCCAGCCTATATACTTATTTTTTGAATTGTAACGATTTCTTGTAAAGCATTCTGAGGCTGCAAAATGGAGATAGCTATTAGAGACTTTTTTTTTTTTTTTTTTTGACATTTTCTATTTCTGCTGCTCTGGTGTTTGATTACATTTGAGACACAGGAATATAGAAAAGCACACGCTTATTGTGGTGTGTTGTTTACAAGGTTATTCTTGCACGTGCTCACTTGCTTGCTCACTCCCACATACAGCCACACTCCCATTACTGTTACCATTTCCAAGGCAAGGAGATGCTCTGCTTCATGGGCCATCTGTCAGGCAGTGCTGGGGCACTGTATATTGATGCCATGTTTGTAGCTATCTCTTATTTGAAACAAAGTTCAGTTCAAAGCACTTCCAAGTATAGAAAGGGGAGAAAAAAGATGTTAATGTGTTTAGATTACATTAAAATTTTAAGATTAACTAAAAGAAAGGGAGAAAAAAAGTCTGCTAATGGGTAGAGCTCAGTGGAGAGGCATTATTATATTACTACTAATGCACATAAAGCATCTCCTATTAAAAAGGGATGGCAGTTTTACATCCTATTAAATATATCAAAGCTGTACTTCAATTACAAATCCTTTCATATGCACGTTTTAACAAATATGTCTGATAATAGAGTGCAGCAGTAGCTTTTTAAATGCTAAACAAGATCCCTACAATACAGCTCACAGATAGAAAAGTACTAGAAGAAGGAAGGTCTATTTGACAGGGAAGGGAGAGATGTATTTCAATATTTTCATTGCCTTTATAGCTCACAAGACAGAGTTTATAAACCATTCCAGTGAGCGTAGTAGGACATCGATAAAAGAGCAAAACCTGCAACCAGTATACTGAAGGAGTTTGGCAAGCTGCTGTTGTTTTTCCACACTGTTATCTTGGAAGACAAGCTGTGTCCTAATAATGCTAGTAACAACAAAAATAAAAGCAGGCCACGGTTGGCTGAGCCCTGCCTTGGAAAACGTAAAATCTCAACCAGCCCCAAAAAAATATACCTTCCCTAAAGAGAGGAGAATCCCTATGCCCAGAGGGAGCTATGAGGTGACAACACGTGGTCCCGGCCGCATGGACTTACCTAGCGAGTGTCTCTTCAACAAAACAACAAATAAATCCTGATGCTGCCCTGGAAAACCCAGCAAGTGAAATGGTGTTCTGCATGAGCAATCTGCTACTGTGTGACCTAGGGGGAATAAGCATTAGAAAGGTCAAAGCAACCCAAAGAAGGATCCAGCGTGACCCTGAATTCAAGCTAATAGGTAAGTCCCTTCTACCCCCACAAACAGTTGTGAAGGCTGGGTAGAGCACTGCAGAGAGTTTCCAAGGCCCTGTGGTAAAGGACTCTGCTTATTGCATCGTTTTCCCATATCTGGTCCCACTAACAGAGTATTAGCACAGCAAAACTGAGTGTTTGAGACACGGAGTTCAGCTCTGTGTTTCTAATTGTGCCTAGCCCCTAGCCTTAGAATTCTGCAAAACCCAAGCTCGGTTCCTACTCAGGGTGAACTGGAGTCACAATGTTAATCAGATTGGGCAGCAGTCTGCCACAAGCCAGGCTCTATTTGCATGGATCACGTATTTCTGACATCTGGCAAGGGAGTGAATGAGCCCATGCCTATGGAAATGCATATGAACCCACAATTAGCTTTTTCAGTTTTCTGATGAATCAATTAAATAGAGGTTCATAAATCTTAAAGAAAGAGGAAAAAGATTTGATCATAATAAAGAACAACAGTAAATTCTGCTTAGCCTTTTTTCCTTGTGGATTCTTTTTTTCTTGTGGAGATATAAAAGTTGCAGAGATTTAGTGAAATTTAGTCACTTATCCAGGAAATAATGATGAGCAATAGTACTGTAATGTTGTCACTCTAATGTCCACAGTGTTGGGCAGCAGGGTTGTCCCAGTACTCACAGTGCTGGGCCTTGCCTTGCTTTGCCTGTCCCCAGCTACTCTTTGTGGCTATGAGTTGTACTGCCTTGCTTGGGTCTCTGAAAAGCAAGGAGGGTGGTTTGTGATGTCTGTCTCCTCTTTGGTAAGACAGAAGGGAAAGTTGGAGCTAGGTCATCTCCTCCCTTCTCTCAGATCAGCACAGGGGTCTGCACAGAGGAAGTCAGTACGTGCAGAGAAACTATACCAGGACTGCAGTAAGATCATAATAGCTCAAAATAGAGGGATAGAGCCAGAGAAAGAGGCTGTTGTCCCTGATTGCTACCCTGCTTGAAAGTCCAGGAAAAACAAAATCTCATAGTACTGCGTGGGCCATACACACCACTTCTAAGACAACCAGGCTTTGTGAGACAGATTCTGTCCACCCTGGCCTTCAGGAAAGTTGTCACCCAAAGGGAATGCAACCTTTCTTTGTCTCTCAGCCAACTCCTTTGGGTAATATAGATCAGTATCACACCATACAAGTCAATATTACAGATTCCAGCTGGCTAAATTGGCTTCAATCCACTGAGTCAATGAATCAGATGCTCAGCAGGTGATATACAGTGTTTGACTTGCCTAAGCAATCATTATGTCCAGAGACTCAGAGATCTATTCTGGAGTCTAAGCAAACAAGATAAAATGTGTTCCTCTCCTGGCCTCATATATATCATTTCACATTTAAAAGATTTCTTGAGTTGGAGGCATCAGCATTTACTTCCAGCAGCTCCTGGTTTTGAAAACTGAGAGTACTTAGTAGTTGTGTTTATTTGTGCTGATTTTTTTTCCTTTTTTCCAGCTGCCTCTATTAGCACAAAGGCTAAATGAAAATTCAAATCACTATGGTGATTAGCTGCAAATATTGCTTTTTGCAATGGGTTTGGTGTCCCAAGCAAACAAAGGACCATTCTTCAGTGTGCTGCAGACAGCACAATTGTGTACCTCACAGATGTCTCGGGTGCAATCAGCTTCTCATTACTGGACTAAACAGAACTTTTGATGGAGCTGAGAGAATCGAGTGACCTGGGGCAGGAAGCAAAGGTTCCCTTACCTGGCACTCTGTATTTCCTCCCCCGCAGGCATATTGATTACTCAGAGGCTGTTTGCTGAATGAGATCCTACTCAGCATGAATGTAGCTGGAACAAGTCCTATATAATTAAAGAAAGGAAAGGAATAAATGATCTGTCTAACACCTTGCAGTTATTATCCCACAACTTTGTAATCCATAGCCAGGTTCTCTTTCTGCAGATTTTATCTGCAGAGATTGGGAGGATAAATAAAAAAACAAAACAAAACAAAACAACAACAACAACAAAAAAAAAAACCCACAGCTGAAAGCTTACAAATTATAGATGGAAGGAAGGAGTTGTTTCTTGTCCTAAGGAGGTGCTGAGAAAACAATGCTGTCTCCTGAAGTGGGAGGTAAGGCATCTTGCATCAAATATGAAACCTACCTCTGAGATCATTGCAGCTGAGGTAACCACAAGCTCCTTGAGAACTGAAGCAAACCTGCAGAAGAGGGAAGAATCAAAATCTGTGGTGCTTCAGCACATGCTAGGCTGGAGATGGAATTTTTAAGACATGGAGTTGGAATACTGGAAGAAGAAAGAAAACCTGTGTGGAGAACATGAATATTGCACAGCTTCAAGATAAACCAACATAACTAATGGCAAATTATAAGGCAAGGAAGTATTTTAAAAAGTCAGAGCAATAGTAGGGAAATTTCTAAATACATAGCCATGGACTGCAAACACCATGGCTGTAGATAAACTTCTGCTCTAACATGCCATGAGTAGCCAGAGAACAAAGTGATAGAGATGAAAGGAAGTACAGCAAGACAAATGCACACAAGTACACCACAGCACCTGCTAGTAATATGCCATGCCACTAAAAGCCTAACCAAAGTAAGAGAAGATGATAGAACTTTTCACAGGGATTCCCAGCTGCTCCCAAGAAAAGGACTTGCAGCAGGTCTCTGTTCCCAGAGAAATAATCAAGAAAGGTGGAGCCTGTTCCCAGCATTGTCAGTAGATCGCTGTGTTGCTCTGCATACTATTACTCCTTTCTTGCCTCAGTTTCCCCACAATCTGTCTGTACTAACTGTGTAAAGAAGAATATGATCAAATCAATAAATAAAAAGGATGGGAACAATCAGACAGGACACAGTACAGGATAGCAGACAAGTCTCTG